GGAACTGTCCATGAGGTCACCTGACTCTTGGCTTAGTCGCTCTGCAGCCTCCCTCCTTTGCCGAAAGCCCTGGGGTTGTTTGCTGGGAGCACAGGCTGTTCCTGTGGGGTGGGGACAGAGGGGAATGCAGTGTCCCAGCCACACGTGCAATGTATTGCCTTCAGCCATTCCCACTCATTTTCTGAGTTGGGAAGTGGGAAGGGCTGCAGCAGAAGAAAATGGATGTTGGGTGCTCCCCCTTCTCCCCAGGGCTGGTGTTGGGGTGAGGGGTGGCTTCTCTGGGTCAGGAAGGGGAACACTGCTCCCTGGGTGCTGGGTTTGCTGTGTTTGGGGTTTCTTCTGTGGGGATTTAAGCTGTGATGACTCTTTCTCTCCTTGTCCCCAGCGTGCAGAACAAGAGATCTTCGAGAGGTCAGTATCTGGCTGCTCCTGCTCCACACCTGCATCCCCACAGCTCCTGTGCTGTGTGCTGTGACTCAGGCACCCCATGACACCTCTTTTGTCCCTTGTGCTGCTTTTGTTGTGGACAAGGACAGAGCACAGAGATGCCGGCGTGGGCTCTTGTCTCTGCTCCATGTGCTGTGCTGCACCTGGAGGTGCTCCATGTGCTTTCCCAGATCAGCAGTCCATGCTTGTGGGAGAACTGCAGCTCCTTAGAAGACCCCAGGGTTTGCTGGGGGATGGAGCAGGCCTGTGCCAGGCTGTTGGCAGGAGGTGGGATGGTCTGTGGTCCATGTAGGCAGTGGCTGGCACAGCATCTCCCCAGCTCTGCACGGGCAGGGAGAGACATGTTCAGGTCTCAGTGTCCCCAACAGCCCTAACTGACACTGGGCTGCCCTTCCTGAGGAAGCACCTTGGTGGCTGTGCTTTTATTTAATCTATTTTATTCTTTTTTCAGTAATTTATTTCTGTGGCTGCTGTGAGGGTGCTGGCCCTGGCTGCACTGTGCTGCCCACAGGGCCTGTGGGGGTATTTGTGCCTGTGGAGAGTACAGAATGTGCCACAGCACATCCCCAGCAGCCTGTGCCACAGCCTGTCCTCACAACCAGGAGTTCTGCATGTCCTGCTGGTCACAGGAGCCAGCAAACCCCTGGCTCTGTGCTGGGTGAAATCTGGTGTCCCGGCTTGCTCTGTGCCCAGACCGTGGGGCTCTGGCAATGGAGGGGAATCTGATTCTCTGTTTGTTCATTGTGCTCCCCTGGTACCCTGACAGCTGCTCTCAGACACATTTATTTACCCTGTGTCTGCTGAGTGAGGAGCTGTTGACTCAGGCTGCTGGGATGTGTTTTACAACACTGCAGCCCTTTCACCAGGAACTGTAAGAGAGCCAACCGAAAGTATCACTGTGAGATACTGGGGTGAGAGCTGGCCCAGACAGCCCTGCTGTGGTCTCTCTGCAGCCAGAGCTCATCTTTAACCTCCACCATACTTCCTCGTGCTCTTTTAAACACCCCAGCACAATAAATCATTGTGTTTTGAAACAACTCCTGTTTTCCTTTGCTAGGACGGAGGTGGCAGAGGGAATCTTGGAGCCACAGGAGTCCCTGAAGTTAAACTTTAATCAGACCTGTGTTCAGAGTCCACTGCTGCATCGCCTGTGGGCCTGTGCTGTGCTCTGCTGCCTCACAGGTCAGTGTCTTGCTCAGATCTCGCATGCTCCAGGGATTCCTGCACTCTCACTCGAGTTTTTCCCAGAGAAACACCCTTGTGCTGTGTCCAGACTTCCTGACACTGTGTCCTGCCCCTCTGCTTTCCCAGCAGTTCCCTGTTTGTTTCTTGGAGCCCATTCAGGGAGGCAGCAGCAGCTGTGGGAGGTGCACTTGGGGCTCCAAGCAGTCTGTGGCTCAGGGAAGAAGTGGAGTTTGAAAGGACTGTGTGTTTTATCAGCTCTGTGGCTTTAACGTTTTGTGGTTTCTTTTGCTCTTTCCTGGGTCTCTGGGTGACAGCAGCGAAGCTGATTCTGCTGTGGGAATCTCTGTCACAGGAATATCTGTTCACAACGTTTAGCACTGGGCTGCTGGGGACTTTGTGGGGTTGATTTCATCTGTGGGTTCCCTGTGGTGACCAGGGAGCTGTGAGTAGATGGAGCAGCGTTCTGATCACAAGCTGAGGTTGTGGCTGTGCAGGAGCTGGTGGCTCTAGAGGTGTTTGTGCTCTGGCTCAGCTCCTGGCTGTACAGCTGAGGCTGCACTGGAGGCATTTGCCAGGCTACTGACAGGCTCTGGGACTGGTTTACCTGGTTGTTGCTGGCTGTGTTAAGCAAGGAAAGACATTTTTCCCCCAGCTGTGATGTTGCTTGGTCTCCTCAGGAGCAGGTGAGTCCACTGGGCATCAGCCTCATCTCTGCTTCACAAATTTAGAGCCTGAAGGACACACTTGTGCAATTCCACAGCCTGCAGACCCACAGAGGGGTCTCAGGGGGAAGGAAGCATGCAGCCAGGGCAGGGCACTGTGATCTTAGAGGTCTTTTCCAATCTTGACAGTCCTGTGATTCCGTGATTTTGAAGTGGTGCAGACCCACAGTGGGTGCTGTGCCCTCTGGCCAGCCTGGGCTGCTCCTGGCAGGGTTTGTGCAGTTTGCTTCCAGTACCTCAGGGTGGGTAATCAACAGCTGGGGCTCTGTAGCAGGAAAGAGATCTCCCTGCCTGGCCTTCTCCAGTCCTGTTTTTCCGGCTTTGCAGGTTTTCTGCACCAAAGCCCTCCCAGTCTTGCCAGGCTCTTGGCTCCCCTGCCTGGGGGAGGAGCAGCCAGGTCCTGTTCACCCACCGTGGGGGTGGGAAAGGACAAGTTTGGATCTCTCCCAAAAGTGGGGTGAACCAAACCTGCTGAGTTCTGTTTTGTGGGGAGTCAGGCAAGGGTCAGAGGAAGATGAGCAGGGCCTTTAGTGCAAGGTGGAGGTGCCTGGTGAGTCTGGGTTTTGGTGAGTCTGCCTTGTTGTGGCACCCAGCCTGAGCCCCCAGCACTGTCACCCTGGGGAGCAGATGGGGCCCCAGGAGCCCCAGGAGAAGTTGCTTGTGCTTGTGTTCCTCATGGCCATGACTACCTCAGGTGGTTCAGCTGGTGGCCACTGAGTCACTGCTTACCACGTGGCTTCTCTTGCAGGCTCACAGGAGATTCACATCGATGAGAAAACCCTGAGCCCCCACCTCAGCCTGTCAGAAGACAAGAGAACCCTGACCTTCAGCCCCAAGAAAGCAAAGGTGGACTCGGACTGCCCCGAGCGGTTTGACCACTGGCCCAATGCTTTGGCCACTGCACCTTTCCACTCGGGGGTCTGTGCCTGGAAGGTCAGAGTGGAGCAGAGCTGTGCCTACAAGCTGGGGGTTTGCTACAGCTCTGTGCCCAGGAAGGGCTCTGCCAACGAAGGCCGCCTGGGCTTCAACGCTGCCTCCTGGGTGTTCTCACGCTACGACAAAGAATTCCGGTTCCTGCACGCGGGGCAGCCCCAGCCCGTGGAGCTGATCAAGGCCCCGGCAGAGATCGGGGTCCTGCTGGACTTTGCAGGGGGGGAGCTGCTCTTCTACGACCCTGACTCCTGCGCCATCCTTTTCTCCCACCACCAGGCCTTCCTGGAGCCCGTCTACCCCGTCTTTGCCGTGGCACACCAGAGCATCTCGCTGGTGCTGTGAGCGGGGTGTGACTGTGCGTGCTCTGTGCAGTGCCTGGGGGCTGTGGCCTGTGTCCAGGGGCTGTCACACAACACCTGCCTTCACACTACACCTGTTCCTCGCCTCTTTTCTGCAGTTTTCCTCTCGTCCCGGAGTCTACACCCTGTGCTGGGGTGAGGGGTCTGGGAATGGCTGGCTGGGCCAGCTGCTCCTAGGTGAATTGTTTGATTTCTGCCCCACCAAAGGCAGCTTTCCTCTCTGCTGGAGAAAAGAGGAGGAATAGTGAGAGATATGGATGGAGACATGGCAGGGAGGAGAGGAGGCCCGTGGAAAGGGACATACCATGCTCTACAACTCCTTGACAGGAGGGTGGAGCCAGGGGAGGTCAGGCTCTGCTCCAAGCAACAGTGAAAGGACAGGAGGAAACGGCTTCAAGTTGTGCCAGGAGAGGTTTAGGTTGGATAGTGGGGAAAATTCCTTCCCTGAAAGGATGGTCAGGCCCTGTCACAGGCTGCCTGAGACAGTGATGGAGTCACCATCCCCAAAGGGGCTTAAAAGCCAGTGTGGATGTGGCACTCGAGGACATGGTTTAACAGCAGCCTGGGCAGTGTTGGCAGAACAGTTGGACTCGATCCTAAAGTCCTTTTCCAGCCTAAATGATTCTGTGATTCCCTGACTGGGACACAGCTGGAGCTGCTGTGGGGAGGAGCAGGGACAGTGCAGGGGGCTGTCCCCTGTGGGGAACCATGCTGGGACAGGGACACTGCTGCGAGGGGCTGTGGCCATGTCCAAGCAGGGGAACAAGCAAAGAGCAGCAGAAAGAAACGAAAACCGAGTGCCCCAAGGGAGTGGGGTTTGAGTGTAACGTGGTGCAAACAAGGGGACCTGATGGCAGCAGGCAGCAAGGAAGGAGAGGTGTAGGCTTGGAGTTGAGCCAGAGAAACGGGTTTAAAATCATCTTTCAAGGGTCATCTTTATTTCTCACTACCCAAATCGGTCAAGTTTGTTAATTGGCAATTCATTAAGTGAAATTGCCCAGCTCCAGGCTGTTTTGCCCACAGCTGGAAACCTGCAGGCACCTCCTGCCTGCCTGCCACTGTTGGGAAGGGGGGCATGTTGGTGAGGTGGCACAGCTGGGGTACACTGGGGCTGCAGGGCCTGGGCAGGGCTTCTGTGTGGGAAAACCTTCCCTGGGACAGGGCCACCACTCGCTCTGGGGGATGCTTGAGCCTATCCCCAGGGTGACTGAGAAGGGATAAACCTCAGTATCTGCCTCCATCTCCTACCAGAATGAGCTGATGGAGTGACCCCATCCCAGCCCTGTTATGGGAAGACACCACAGCTGACCTTCTGTGGTGTTTTTAGAGCAATGAAACACATCTGCTCCACTGCTGGGCATCAGAAATGTTTTATTGCATGAACATTCCTCCTGCTCCATAGACAGCTTGGACTTGCTGTCTTCCCTGCCCACCTGGCAGCAAGAAATGCCACGTCAGGCCAGCTCAGCGCTCGGGAGCAGCACCGGACCCCTCCGAACCGCAGCTACTCCTTCTCGATGCGAGCCAGGAGGTGGCCGAGCGTGGGCAGGAGGTGCTCGGGGGGCACCCGCGGCCCCTCGCCGTGCTCAGCAGCCCTCAGCAGGAAGCTGTGCATGCCCGCAGCCCGGGCTGCCCGGTAGTCCCGGCTGTAATCATCCCCGATGTGAGCCGCCTGCTCGGGCCGGGCCCCGCCGAGCCGCAGCGCCTGCTCGAAGATCCTCCGGTCCGGCTTGGCGAAGCCCGCGGCCTCGGAGGTGAGCACGAACTGGAAGTGCTGCCGCAGCTTGCACTGCGAGAGGATGGCTTCCAGCCGGCTGTCGAAGTTGGAGACGACTCCCATGCAGAAGCCGAGCTGGCGACACCGGCTCAGGGTCTCGGCGGCCCCGGGCAGCAGCTCCCAGTTGTGGGGGCTGCTGTAATCGCGGTAGAGCTTTTCCGCCAGCTTCGTCAGGGCTGCCTCGTCCTGCACGCCCGAGAGCCTGAAGCTCTGTTTGACCACATCCAGCCACCACTGCCGGGAGCTGAGCCCCTGGCCGTGGCCGTAGTTGGGGAAGCGCCGGCTCTGGGCCCCGTACACCTCACGGAAGGAGCGCCCCAGAGCCTCGGGCTGCACCTGCAGGCCCTGGGCCCGGGCCTGGGCCGCGTAGCTCTGGCCCACGGGCTGCCGCAGCCGCAGCAGCGTGTCCTTCACATCCCAGGTCAGCAGGCGCAGCCTGAGCATGGCCTCAGCAGCGCCCGGGGACACAGCCGAGCCCCGCCGTGCTCACACCGCCGGGCTGCGGGCACCGCACAGCACTGTGTCCCTCCGGCGGGGCTCAGGGCCCCGCTGCGCTCAGCATGGACACGGAGCACGGAGGGAAAACCCTGCTCCGAGTCCCAGGGGCAAAGTCTGCCAGGCCGGGGCACTGACACTCCCCACGTGGGGGCTGCAGACGGGGCGAGCTGGGCTACCGGGGCTGGATCCGGGGAGGGTGTCCGGGGCACGGCCGGGGTGTCCGGGGCACGGCCGGGGTGTCTGGGGAGGGTGTCCGGGGCACGGCCGGGGTGTCCGGGGCACGGCCGGGGTGTCCGGAGCGGGAGCACCGCTGGAACGCAGGTGCGGGCTCGCCGTGTCCCCGCGGGTCCCGGAGCGGTCGCGGCGCTCACCGGACCGAGCTCCGGGGGCTGCGGGCTGGGGCTGCGCGCAGTGCCAGGACCCACCTGCACCGCTGCCCGGAAGAGCAGCCCCTCCGGAGAACCCTCCGGAGAACCCTCCCATCCCGGAATTCCCTCCCCTCCCGGAATTCCCTCCCCTCCCGGAGAACCCGCCCCAGCCGCAATGGCCGCGCTCAGTGCCGGCCCGGCGCCTCCCGCAGCCAGCGCAGCAGCTGCGGTGTGAAGTAGGTGATGATGATGTCGGCCCCTGCGGAGAGACCAGACGCTGGAGCCAGCCCCGGGGGGACGCGGGGGATAGGGAGGAGGACGCGGGGGTCGCGGCCTCACCTGCGCGCCTGAAGGCCGTGATCGCCTCCTGCACCGCCGCCTCCAGGCTGAAGGCGCCGGCCTGCGCCCCGTGCCACAGCATGGCGAACTCCCCCGAGACGTGGTACACGGCCAGCGGGTGTGTGGGGTGCTGCGGGAGCGGTCAGAGCTGTCCCCTGCCCGCACAGCCCCGCTGCCCGGCGCACAGAACCCACAGAGCCCTCCCTGCCAGGCAGGTCCTCACCCGAGCCTTCACGTCCCTCACGAGGTCCAGGTAGGGCATCCCCGGCTTTACCATCAGCATGTCTGCACCTTCCCGCACGTCCCGGTCCTGCCACGGCAGCGCGGGGACAAGAACAGAGCTTGGTTTCCCCAGGAGTTCGGAGCCAGAAGGGCAAAACCCTCGACCATTTGTCTCCCAACCTCCTGCTCGCCCCAAGCCCTGCGGGGTGCGATCACCCGGGCCCTGTGTGAGGGTGTCCCACCCCACAGCCATAACCCACACCCCACTGAGGGTGTCCCCTACACCCCACTGAGGGTGTCCCACCCCACACCCCACTGAGGGTGTTCCCCACACCCCACTGAGGGTGTCCCACCCCACACCCCACTGAGGGTGTCCCCCACACCCCACTGAGGGTGTCCCACCCCACACTCACCACAGCACGCATGGCCAGGCCCCGCGCCCCCGGGGGCAGCTGGTAACAGCGCCGGTCCCCAAAGGCAGGTTTGGACAGCGCCGCGTCCCTGCAGAGGGGCAGAGGGCAGGGGGTGAGGAACCCCTGCCTCCCACCTCACACAGCTTCAGAAACACGAGGACAGGCCAGGACAAGCATCTGAGTCACTGAGGCAGAAAAAGGGGCCATTCCTGACACAGTTCAGCACGCAGGGATTGCTCTGGGAGGTCCTGCAGGCCCAGGCTGGCCCTGGGAGCTGTTTCAACACCCACCGCCCTCCCCATGCCCAGAGTCTGGGTAAAATTGTGTCAGGCCCCTTTCCAAGGTCGGTTCTTCAGGGATACCCTGCTGAGGTCAGGCTCTTCTTAGGACAAGGTCTAACAGCTAAGCTGAGGCTCATCCCTGAAGTCATCCTGTGGGGCAACACTGACTCCTGTGACTCCTGAAAGCTGCAGGCAGCTCCCTCTCTGCCTGCCTTGCCACCAGCACCTGAGCAGGTGAAGGCTTGGGGTGAAAGATCACCCTTCAGTGACTTTCCTGCCAGCCAGCCTCTCCTGGGTAAGGTACACTTGTCTCCTTTTCGTATGAAGGAGTAGGATGCTGCAAAGCAACCAGTGTGGCCCCACGTGCAGCCCAGGCTCTGGGTAAGCTCCTTTCCCAAATAACTTTCTGGGAATGTGTTCCCAGCTAGCCTGGCCGAGCTGGGCACACCTGGCTGAGGGACAGACCCACCTGAAGGGGCCGTAGAAGCACGAAGCAAACTTGGCGCTGTAGCTCATCACTGAGACCTGCAGGGCAGAGAGGGGCTGTGAGCTCAGGGCCACATCCCAGCGCTGGGACGGGAGAGACTCGCTCCCACAGCTTCATCCTCCCTCTTCCAGAGATCTGGCACCTCACCATGGCTGGCCCCAGCCAAGGACATTCCCCTCCTGTGTGTGCTGGGCAGGGCAATGCCCGTGGCACCAAGGGGGGTTTGCCCCTCTGCCGCTTGCCGCAGCCTCCCGTGGACGTGGCTCGTGCCTGTGGCTGTCCCTGCCTCACCTTGTTGCCCAGGTCGTTGGAGATCAGCGCCTGTTTCATGGCTGCAATGCGCCCGTCCATCATGTCCGAGGGGGCCACGATGTGGCAGCCTGCAGGGACAGACGGGACAGGGATGCACCGGAGGCTTCGGTGCTGCCTGGAACAGCGCGGGGAGGGCAGGGCAGCACTCCCAGCTGGAGTCTGCTTTTGGGGCTGCCCAAAGCCAGAGGGGCAGCTCTGTGAGAGCCAGCCTGGGCTGCCACTGCCTGGGGCTCCCCACCTGCTTTGGCATAAGCCAGCGCCACCTCCGCTAGCCGCTGGCAGCTGAGCTCGTTCTGGATGGTGCCGTCCTCACGCAGGATGCCTGGGAGACAAACCTGGGTCACACAGGGGAGGGACAGCTGGTGCCTCAGTCCCCACAGGCTCTGGGGACAAGCTGTGGTGCTCAGAGCAGCAGTGGGGAATTTGATGAGTTGAGGGAGGGAGATAAGGAGCAGGAGCCCTCTGTGGACTGGACACAGCGTGTGGGTGCTCCAGGGAAGGGAAGGCAGAGATGGGGGACACAGAGGGGTGCTCAGACTCAGGGGGCCTGAGGGAGGGTCTGAACCACCTGTGCCTCCCACCCTGTGGTCAAAACCCAGGAGAGGTCACCCAGGCTCAACTACACCAGTACAGGGAAGCCGAGTCTTGGAGCAGGAGCTGGTCAGACCCTCAGCAGAAAATGGCAAATCCCAGAGGCAGGAGAAGGCCAGAGCACAGCCAGCCCCACGGCCGTGCTCACCACAGTGCCCGTGCGAGGTGTAGGGGCACAGGCAGACATCGCAGGCAATCAGCAGCTCCGGGAAGGTGGAGCGGATCTTCCTGATGGCCTGGATGGCAGGAGTGCCCTCGGCATCAGCAGCAGAGCCTCTCTCATCCTGTGAGGACAGAAACACCTCAGCATGCACAGCTGACACTTCCCACTGGCCCCTCCGTGGCAGCAGCTCTGCCCAGGAAGCATTTCCTGAACTCTGGGACCCCACTGAGGGAAAAGGGTGATGGGCAGCTAGGGCAGGTTTTGGGGCCATCTGCAGAGCTCTGGGGACTTTCTGGGTGTCCCTGCAATATCCCATCCCCATCTGCTGTGCTGAGTGGGCCGTATCACAGCCAGAGACCCTGAACTGCTCCTGTTTGATCAGAGACCACCCCCAGCCAGCCCCACATGGCTCTGACAGCCCTGCGGCTATCCCAGCACCCCCCCACACATGCACTGACCTTGTGGACCTTGCTGGGCACCCCAAAGATGAGCACACACTTGAGGCCATCTTCGACAAGGGGCCGCAGCATCCCCTCCAGCTTGTTCACTCCATACCTGAGCAGGGCAAAGGGAAGCAGCTGCCAGGCACCCAGAGCTGCTCCATGGGGAGAGCTGCCCTGGGACTGGGATGCTGCCCTGTGAGCAATCCAGCATCACCAGGCCGTGGCTGCAGGCACAGGGGAGGTGTTTCCTGAACAATCTGAGCCCTTATCCGGGGCTCCAGGAGCTCTATCTGCCCGGTATGGACGCTGCTCTGGAGGGATGGGCATACCCTGCCCTTGGATCCATTATCTTGGTGTCCCTGCTGCAGATCCACTTTCCCAGCACCAAAGCCCTGCTAATGTGGCAGCAGATGCCGAGGGGAGCTGCCAGTCCAGTGGGATCCAGTGCAGAACCAGATCCCATGTCCTTGCAGAGGTTTCCTGGCTGCTGCTGGAAACGCTGTTCACTTCCAGCCCACACAACCTGGGATTGCTCTGGGACAGAGCCAGAGCCTGCTGCTGTCCCTCCCAGCACTTTTCCAGCATTCCCTGCATGATTCCCTCCGCTCCCTTAGTGGATGAACATTCCCACTTAGCCTGATGCCGGGGGATCTCCAAAGCAGGAACCAGAGGGTTGGAAGCCTGCCCCTGGCTCATGCTCAGGGCAGAAATGAACCCTCCCCAGACACAGGGCACAGCAGCAGCTGGGGGCTGGATTCATACCTGGCTTGTCCAGGAAGGCTGGGAATTGGCTCCACGGCATCAGGGCTGTCACTGTGGGAGGTGGATGGGACAGAGACATGAGCACTCGGTGTGAGAAGGAAGCCTCTCTCCCAGACTTGTCCACAGGAGCTCTGAACCAATTTAAGAGCTCAGGGACCCGAGAGCTGGGGCTCACTCACGTGACAAAAATGGGATAGATGAGGTTGGAGGCATCGAAGGTGGTGGCCGTGCACTGCCAGGAGCGCAGCACGGGGTGGAAGTAGCCACTGTGGAGAACGGAGTCTGCCTGCATGGTGGGCTCTGCTGTCAGGGAAGGAGACTCTGAAACACCAAAACAAACCTGGTGAGCTGCTGCTCTTGGCACAAGCGAGGAGGGGCTGGCAGCCACTGCAGGACTGACCCTGTCCCAGCAGCCCAGGCAGCTCCACCCCACCTGCCCAAGCACCCAGGGGTGCTGCAGGACCCCATCAGCAGTGACAGCACAGCCCTTCCCTCTAACAGGGCTGTCAGTGACTCCTCCCCACAAACCTCCCAGTTCTGTGTATGAAACCCCCATCTCCAGCCACTGACAACCTCCCCCAGCAGAATCATGTTCACCCTCCTCAGGTGTCGCCCTGAAAACTCAGCTTTTGAGCTTGCTAACAAAGTTTTCTAAGGACTTTCCCAGGACAGTAACTGTAAACGTAGATATGTGTACATTCTTTCTGTTACACGTCTTGTGATGGGCATCTCTCATGGCCAGTGCAGTGAGAAAGTGTTATCCTGACCATCCCATACCTGGCCGTGGTCAGAACCTATAAATCCTGGGAGGAAAAATAAACTTTCTCTTCTTTTCACC